TTCAGGTGGTTCGTGGTGGTTCCAATAGTATCTAGTTGTGGGGAGAATGGCAACGCATGCCAACACACCCCAGAGCATGTGAATAAAATGTCTGAAATGGGGGGGGGACCTGCACATCAGTGCAGCCATACATTACTGGGAGCAGGGAAGTGTTTTCCAAGATTCTGACAAAGTCTCACGATATCTTACAAGTGTATGAGCCAGAGGGCCCTCCATGCCTATCGACCACACTATTCCCTTTCTGAATCCCTTTTCTGAATTTATACTGCAGGACGTGGTGGAGGGCCTCGGGCCAACTAAAGCAGCGTCCCATCTCATCAAGCTGGAGGCTGTGGGGGAGAAGCGTTTAGAGCACCTCGAGATCTCTTTTCACAAGGAGTTCCACCCGCAACACAACTGGACGTTGAAGAAGCACCATTGGCGGAATTTTTGCATTTTCATCGGCTTGGCACAGGAACCGAATCCAGATTGTGCACCCTGCGCTCGTGTCATGGAGAATGCCGCCATGAGCCTCGACGAGGCTGCCGCCATGAGCCTTCCCCCTTCCTGTCCTACCCCCAGTACCTTGCTGGGAGAATTTCCTACAACTACTGCATACTATTGCATTTAGTACATGTAGGCTTCTCAAGACAACCTTCATGTATAATGAATGTGCGGCATGGAACTGCTGCTGACCCCCCAGGTCCATACATTCATGATACTTCATCTGCGCCCCCCCCTTCCAAATTTCGCCCCCCCCTCCAAACTTGGGAAGTATTAATGTATTAACCCAGGGGGGGTAGGTGGCCTCCCATGATTTGGCAAACTTAGATTTCAGGGGGGGCTCAAAAGCGTCGTGCTATTTCGTAAGACTCCCCAGGAAAACTCCATGAGCATCAAACATCCATGGCCTTGCAAAATCAATGTATGAAACCGCCTCCCCACCTTTTTCTAAGCAAGCTTTTGAAGCCAAATACTGAAAATGTATGAGGACCACCCCCCACCTCTTTAGGTAACCTCTCAATTTTACAAACAAAAGTTCATACAAAAATACCCGTTTCAGAGTGGGGGGGGGCCTGGAAATGTATGAAAAATTCCCGGGTACCCCCCCCTCTTCATACATTTTAAGGGGTGGGGGATCTTCATAGTAGCTTCTTTTGTGCCCTTGTACGGGACTATCGCTCCTCGACTTTTCTCGTGGTCTTTCAAGGCTCGACCACGGTCCCTCTTCTTGAGTTTGGTCCCAGTGTCTAGGGGCTCTGTAGGCGCATAGTCTGTACTGGCATCCTCCTCGCCATCTGGCCCATCCTCTTCCGAGCCTGACGGCACATGGTGGGTCACTGTGGCCCCCAAGTGCTGCATGATGGGCTCTTCTCACATCTTTCAGCCTTTCTCGAAGCTTGAGTTTCTGATCGTCGGTAATCTCCTTCTCCTTCTCCTCTTCTGTCACCTTTTTCTTTTTCTCTTTGGTAGCCCCAGGTTTGGGCTTGGCTTTTGATTCCCCTGGTCGAGGAGCTCTGGCAGGTTTCTCTGGTACATCCTTCCCTTTCCTTGTCTTTCGCTTGGCACGTTCTCTCTTTTCTACAGCTGCCACACATTCTTTCATAGACTCCTCGACGTGGGCGTCCACATAGTCGGCCTCGAAGTTCCGATGTTGCCATAGCCGCAACAGAGTCACGTGCAAGGCGGGGCCAGCACGATCGTCCGCACTCATATCCATACAGGGGGTGCTGCTGCAAATGTGCAGGTTGACCTGACCTGGTCCCAGCACGTCCCTGATAAGCTGGTGAGTGTCGCGGCTTTCGCAACCCATGAAGTGCCCCTGTACGGTGAAGGCACCATCCAGGTCGGCCTCTACATTGGTCAAGAAGAAGCCGCCCATTCCTCTTCGAGGACGGATATGTCTGTCCCTTTCATCTGAACCTCGAGCACCATCCCTGGCCGCGGAAAAATGGCGCTCCAGGCCTCCTTGTCGAGGAGGCCGTACTCTGCTCCTTCGACGAATCTCGCCATCTTCACCGGCCGAGCCGGGACAGGTCCCAAGACCTTAGTGGGGTCAGCAGCCAGTCTTGCAAGACGTTTGTGCTTGCGTCCTCCTCTTCTCTTCGGCTTGTTGTGTCCTTTGGTTGAACGGTGTCCTCGATGACCTCGGTCGTGGTGCCTCTTGGTATGGCCAGCTGTCCTGTCTGTATCAGCTCGGCTTAACCGTCGCCCCAGCGGTGTTGTGCCCGGCGGTGGTGGTCCGTCAGGTTCCAGCAGTCGCCTGTCTCCGCCTCCTTCTCTACGTGGGGGAGACCTGCTGCGCTTCCGCTTAGAGCGTCTGTCCTCCTCCTCGTCGGACTCTTCGTCCTCTTCCTCCTCGCTTTCTTGCTCCTCCTTCCTCCTCTGACCTTCTCTGGGTAGGCACGACCTGCGGTCAGCCTCCCGAGCGGGGCCGCCTCGGCGCGGCCAGCACTC